CCAGGCCGATGTACAATCATTTCTAGACATGAGCAGAAGGGATGGGGCCTGGCAATCAGTCAGCCGTTCACTCAGGTGTTTTTAGCATTCAGTTACTTCACAGACGATGGATTTAGTGGAGGAATGTAGTCAGGGTTGTATCACTCAGAATAGACTAGGGTATGCCACATTAACAAACAACTCCAAAAGCTCAGTGGTTTAAAACAACCAAAGCTTATTTCTCACTCCTGCAACATGTTCGTTAGAGGCCAGTGGGGCCTCTGTTCCACATCTCACTTTGGGGCCCAGGATGACAGATCAGCCACTGTCTGAAATCATGCTGCTGATCATACTAGATGGAAAGAGGGTTCTTGGAAGGTCTCATGTTGGTATGTAAATGGTCTGGCCCAGAAATGACACAAGTCACTGCTGCTCAAAATCACTGACTGGAACTAATTACATGGCCCCAACTGACCCTCAGGGCATTTATTGGTTCATGACTGCTGTGCCTTCTTGCTATATAGCAGGAGGGGGTGGTGCTTCTATCAGCAAGGCAAAGGTTTTCCAGGAACCTCAGCTGATATCTCTTTGGTCAGAAGCAGGACCTATGGTCATCCCTAGCAACAAAGGAACCTAGGGTAGTACATTTTAAAGGGGCATCTGCAGCTTCAAACAAAATTGGGTTCTGTTGATAAAGAAGGAGAATGGATACCTCATAAGCAACTAGAAATAAATAGGTAGATAGAAGTGTCACTGGAGAATGAGAGATGGTGTTAGAAGTAATATGACAAACATAGATGATGGGTCCAGACTCCGGTGCAATAGCAGAGGGCTGGACTATGAACTTGGTTTTACTAAGCTCACTAATTTAAAGGATGGCTGAGTGGTTCCCTATGTTATCAAATGATTAAAACTCCTAAAGTAACATACATGGTAATTCTGGACACATATTAATCAAGATTTCTGTCCCACTAATAGAAGACAACCGAGTATCAAAACCATATTATTAGCTATTAAGGGCCTACTATGTACCAGGTTCTGCATATACATAACTGCTAATTTTCAAGGCAACAAAAGGTAGGTATTAATATCATCTCCATTTTACAGATGACCAAACCAAGGTTCTTACTGGTTAATGGATGACCCTAAGTCACACAGCCAATAAGCAGAGGTGCTGTGTCCAAACCCAACCCAGATCCCAAACTTCTCACTCTCTTCTCATTATTATCTCAGGTTGCCTCTTTCACTAGAAATCCTTTAGTAATAATTCCAAATGACAATGCATTAAAAACAGCAAAGCCTGAAATGTTACCTAAGATGCATATTTGGTTGGTAGGAAAGGCAGTGATAGTACTGATTGGTGCTGAGAACTCCTGCTTATTAAAGCCCTGTATTTTAGTGTGTATTTGGATCCATTTTGTCATTAGATATACTGGAAAACATCAGAAAGAAACAAAATGAAGCAGCCGAGATCACATGGCATAGATGTAGCCAACACACTACAGACAGGCAATCTTGAGAAACTCTGGATGCTGTTAATTAGGAAATGAACAGCTGTCCAGCCTAAGAATTGGCAGAGCTCTCTGGATGACGACACAGAAACAAGAAGAAAAAGGGCCACACCATCGAAGTGAATAAGAATCAACGTGTCTACCCCAAGTGGCTGTGGTGTCTAAATGCAGCCTGGATCCAGTTCTTAGGGCTCCGGAATACTCTTGCTTAGGGACCAGGATCTTGGATGATATGGAAGGTTACCAAGGCAACCCAGAGATTGACTCCTAACCTTGGGGCTGGCTCCCTGGCCCAGTCTCCTAGTCCATGTAGTCATATAGACCATTTAGACCTATATTATGGACAGCTTTCTAGGTTGTACCTAACTCCTCTGAATATTGGCTGTATTCTAACATTTGATTGAAGGCAGTATCAAAAATCTTTTAAGATTTTTTGATTTATTAATTCATGAGAGACACACAGAGAGGCAGAGACATCGGCAGAGGGAGAGCAGGCCCCCTGCAAGGAGCCTGATGTGGAACTCGATCCCAGGACCCCGGGATCATAGCCTGAGCCAAAGGCAGACACTCAACCACTGAGCCACCCAGGCATTCCCAGTATCAAAAATCTTAAACAGCCTTATTCTATATGTAGAAGAGCAAATTTCCCACTCATTCGTTATTTTTTTCATGTACACATCACATATTTTCCAAGAGCCTGTCTAGGTGAAACAGACAATCCATTCATGGACTTTAGAGGTCAGTGGGGGAGACAGAATTAAATTAAATAACCCACCAACCCAAAGATAAATCTGCAACTGAAATATGTTATTAAACATTTGCTAAGGACCAGGAATTATACTAAATGGATTGCCAAAATGGCACTTAATCTTCTCCAAGGTCTGGAGGAGTGGAGGCTTGAAGAGGTGATTCAGCTTTCCCAAAGTCACACTGCCCCAAAGTGACAGCTGGAATTCCAATCCTGCACTACCTGATGCAAAAAACCCATGCATGCACTTGGCTGCTTTCTCATATCTCTCCTGGCAACCTATAGATCTCAATTCTTTCCAGCTCCTGCCCTTTCTCCTTTGAGACCTGGGTTTGGGCTTAATGGAGTTTCCACTCTTTTATGCAGTCTTTGATATAAAATATTCCAGAAGCTGATATGTGCAATTCACTGGGATTGGGAATCTTGTTAAAGAAAGATTTTAAAACTTATTTTCAACACTTATTAAGATTCCACACAGAGCCCCCATATAATGACACAGTACAGTAGTAGGGAAACATTCAGGTGTTCAAGCTCGATTCTCCAGATCCAAGTGTGATGAGAGAGACTCTGATTAGAGTATGATCATCATTGCTGTAGAGCATTATACAACATTATACAACCAAATGTCACACATGGCTCCTGTTCCACAGGGACATGGGACAATTTACACGCTCCACCTCTGCCCTGGTCTTATTCACCTCTCTCCTGTCACTGCCTGGGATCAGCACCTGCTCAGAATATGGCTTCTAATGTTACATATCCACTAAAACCAGAGGGCTTCTGTCTCTGACCTGCTTAAGTTTTCAAGGTCAATGGAAACATCTTCCTTTGGAGTATTGGTCTCCCAAGGCATAAATAGTCACTTTGTTTCCAGAAACAAAATTACCCTCACATGTACTGGGTTGGAATGACGAGAAGGGCAACAGTGCAGGATGCATCACAAGGCAGAACCAGGTGGCCCTCTGCCTAGCCCTCTACATGTGCCCAGGTGCCATTCTGGGCTTTATTGAGAAATCCCTGACCTCTGAAATCTTAGCAATATGTACCTTCTCTTCTTCTCCTGAGATCAGAGCTTTGCTCAACTCCTGAATATCCAGAGTCTGGGAGGTGAACAGATGTGAACAATCACTTACCAAGGATGGTATATTAGGTCATTGTGATAGAAATTAAAACAATGACGGACCACCAGATTTCTATTAACGTGCATAAAATTTGATATGATGACAGCATCAGATGCTGCTATGGATGTGGGTTAGCAGGACACTCCATTACTGGTGGTAATGCCAAATGTCTCTGCCAATTTGCAAGATGCCTTGGCAGTTTCTTACAAAGATAAGATTGTGCATGATACAATAAAGAAAACACATCCCCATGTATTTCCTGAAATGAGTTACTTTCATCCACACAAGAATATACACATATGTTTATTGCTCATTTATTTGATGGTCAAGACTTGAAAGCAACCATCAGGTCCTTCCATAGGGGAATGGATCAACAAGCTCTAGTACAAAAAAAAAAAAAAAAAAAAAAAAAAAAAAAAAAAAAAGCTCTGGTATATCCATACTCTGAATATGATTCAGTGATGAAAAGTCTTGTGTTATCAGAAAAAAAAAAAAAAAAAAAAAAAAAAGATTTGTGTTATCGGGATGCCTAGATGGCTCAGCGGTTGAGGGTCTGCCTTTGGCCCAGGCCATGATCCCGGAGTCTTGGGATCGCATCCTGCATAATGCTCCCTGCATGGAGCCTGCTTCTCCCTCTGCCTGTGTGTCTGTCTGCCTTTCTCTTTCTGTGTCTCTCTGGAATAAATAAATAAAATCTTTAAAAAAAATATTCAACACTTATTTTTTTCCTAAAGAATATCTGAAAATGAGACTACCTGGGTCAAAGTTAAAGCAATAATCTGCATAGAATGTCTAAAGGTCTTGGATTATTAACAGAGCAATGGTGCCCTCTAGTGTATCATGTATTACACATTCCTTGGTTGGGGATGAGAGCAGTCTGGATTTAAGTAGGTGGCTTCCAACGGAAAGACTGGATGAACAATAAGCCTCCCCTAGGCTTAATCACCTTAGCTCCTCAAACCCCCACCCACTGATACCAATTCCAGAGGCAAGGTCACAGATACATGGTGCAGCAACTTATCACAGTTCGGAGTACCACTGACCAAGACACAAGGTCCCAATAACCCACAGTGAGATTGCCAAGATTGAACCACCTACTGCCAATCTCCAGGATCACTTTCTTATTAGATCAATAGGCGAATCCATCATTACCTGCTATAACGCCTCTCTCTTTTCTGGAGGTCGTGGCTTAAATGATACCCACCCTTTCCACACACGCACATGCACTGGGTCGTCTCAAGGATGGTAAGGTATTAAGACAATGTCATTAACATTAATGTTTGTCATTAATTGAGAAAGACTGAGCTGATGTTCAAGGATAAGTATAAACTAACACCTGAATATTTATTTTGAGGATTAATTCAAACTCTCTTGGGTAGGAAACGTCAACCAAGAGAGCATCCCAGATCGATCCATTCTGCCTCTTCCCAGTAACCAAGGATATGGCAGAGATTATTATTTACATCCACCCCCACCCCACTGCCTGTGTAAGATGAGGAAATAAGAGCCGACCTAATTGCCCCAGGTGGGCAGGAGTTGAGCTAATAAAAGTCAAGGGCTAAAAGGAGAGGACAGTGGTGGCAGCCCTGAAGTTCCCATGGTGAATTGCGGCTAAAAACAAATCAGGATAAAACGCCATACCTGGTGTGTGATGCCCCCAAGATCTCAGGAGTAACATAGCTTGGGTTAAACGCTGCAAAATTTGGATTCAGAAAACCTGGGTTCAAAGCCTCCTCTTCAGCCTCTAGCTATGTGATCAGGCGACACACGGTCTCCATTTCTGCATCTGTAAAACAGCAGTGACATTACCTGCTTTTTAGTTTCTTGCCAAGTGTAAAGTGTTTAGCATCGTGCCTGACATATCCCATTTACTTGATATTAACTTATTATTATCGCCACTATTATTGGCAGTGTCTATTATCTGGCAGGAAACCCACACACGCAGGAAAAGAATTCACGGAAACTTTTGTCTTCTTTTCACAATGTTGTCATTTTCCAATTTCCTAAAAGAAGTGTGCACTGCTATTAAAATCTGAAGGGAGGGGATCCCGGGGCGGCTCAGCGGTTTAGCGCCGCTGTCCGCCCAGGGCGTGAACCTGGAGACCCCAGATCAAGTCCCACGTCGGGCTCCCTGCATGGAACCTGCTGTGTCTCTCATGAATAAATTAAAAAAAAAATTTTTTTTTTTAATATGAAGGGAGAGGGACGCCTGGGTGCCTCAGCGGTTGAGCGTCTGCCTTCGGCCCAGGGCGTGATCCTAGGGTCCCAGGATCGAGTCCCTCCTCGGGCTCCCTGCATGGAGCCTGCTTCTCCCTTTGCCTGTGTCTCTGCCTCTCTCTGTGTGTCTTTCATGATTAATAAATAAAATCTTAAAAAAAAAAAGAATAAAATCTGAAGGGAGAGAAAGTACCTTTCTCTTTTTGGCATAATATAAATTTGACTAGTCTACTGTTGCCCAAATTGCCCGGGCTCCTATTGCTCAAGGAGGGCGTTGGGTGTCGTGTTAAAAGCACAGATTCCTAGAGCCCGACCGAAAAATACTGAATCCGAACACGTCACGAACAAACCTGTTCATACTTTTAACGAGTCCCACAGATGATTCTTATCAGGCAGTTGGGTGGGACCTGCTGGCTTAAAACCAGCGGGGCAGAGGCTGCGCGAGAAACGCCAGCGCAGGTTGCGGCAATCAGGAGGGCCCGGGCCTCCAATTCGCGTTCGGTCCCGCACACTGGCGCCGAGCGAGCAGGAGCCTGGGGGTTGTAGTTTCCATCAGCCAGACCTCTGCCTATAAGAAAGGCGAGGATGACTGCCAAAAACTTCCCGCCCCACAATGCAAAGGCCAGCGGTGACGTCATCCGCGGAGCGCCGGAGATGGAGCGGGCAGTTGCTACCGCTCCTACCACTACCCCCGTTGCCTCGGAGCCGGCTTCCTCTGCCGCCGCCGCTGCCGCCGCCGCCGCCGCCGCCGCCCCGCCCCCGCCCCCGCCCCCTCCCTGCCCTCCCCGCTCCCCCCTCCCCCCTCCGCCTCCCCTTTCTCCACCTCCCCCGCCGCCTCCTTCTCGGGCGCTTCTGCCATCTCTACACCGCTCGGGCTCTCTGTCCCTGAGCAGCCGTGTTCGGTCTCCTTTGTGGTCCCGGGGCGCAGCCATGGCGGACGGCGGCGGCGGCGGGGGCCCCGGCTCGGTGGGCGGCGGCGGAGCGGGCCAGGCCTCGGCGGGGTCGGCAACGGGCGCGACGGGGGCCGGTGGGAGCGGCGGCCCCATCAACCCGGCCTCGCTGCCCCCCGGCGACCCGCAGCTCATCGCTCTCATCGTGGAGCAGCTCAAGAGCAGGGGCCTGTTTGACAGCTTCCGCCGGGACTGCCTGGCCGACGTGGACACCAAGGTAGCCGGGGCCGGGCGTGAGGACGGCAGGTTGCCGCTTGGCTTTTCCAAAGCAGAGAGAAAACCAAAAGGTGCTTTACACCGCTTGAGGCAGTGCAGAAAGCTTCCTGAGTCGCGTACACGTGGGCTGGGCTCCCAGCCGCATCACTGCTAGCTGGGCGGCAGTCCCTGGTTCCTGTGGACGTAGGGGAGACAGCCTACGTCCTGTCTTTCCCAAGCTGAGACGTCTTTGAGCCCCTCAGTAACAGACCTCTGTGTGTTACGAACGTGGGAGAAGACCAGTAAGGAGGCGGGAATGGCGTGAATGCGGGAATGGCGGTCATCGCAGTGTGGTAGCTAGCTATTCCTTCTTTCCGCTCGCTTGGTGATTTGCACTTTGGGTATCCAGTCGAATTAAGGTACACCCTTAATTACCCTTTTACTCCAGAACCGACACCCTTTTACTCCACCGTGGCTTAAAGGGGATTTGGTGCCAATTTTAGATCCGAATGCCTCCTAGTAAAATGCTCTTTCATGTTACTTGCCACAGTCCTGGGAATTCCATGAAGACACGTGTTATCAGGCATAACAGTAGTTGCTGGAATGTTCCATTTTCTCCCGTTTCAGAAGCTTTTCTAAGAAGATTAGCTTTGTCGGTTTAGGCGGCACTGTTAACTCCTCTAGGGAAGTGATTTCTCCTCTCTGAGAAAATCTGCCTATCTAACAGGAGGATTGTGAACTTAAAATTACAACTCAAAGATAGGAAAAGACATCCTCCATTTAGTCATTGAAATTTACTGGCCTATAGCATGTGGGCTGTGTGGATACAGGAACAAGTAAGTCATTACCTGTCCTCAAAGCTTGTACTGTAGGGTAGAAAACTGACATGTGGACCTGATAGTATAAACAGTAAGTGGTGCTAGAAGTGGTTAATGCTTAAATTTTCCTTATGTGAGGCGTCTCAGATACATAACAACTGAGCTTCCACCATTCCCAGGACTCTGGGTATTCTTCCACTCATATCTCTTATGCTCAGTTTTATGTGGCTAAATCAATGTAGTATGCATGTTATTTTAAAAAGAAACCGGGATGCCTGGGTGGCTCAGTGGTTGAGCGTCTGCCTTTGGCTCAGGACCTGATCCTGGGGTCCTGGGATCAAGTCCCACGTCGGGCTCCCTGCATGGAGCCTGCTTCTCCCTCTGCCTGTGTCTCTGCCTCTCTGTGTATGTGTCTCATGAATAGATAAATAACATCTTTAAAAAAAGGAAATCAGTATTGTAAAGCTGTCGGGGAAAGGAGAGTTGGAGCCTCTCCCCACATAACACCTTATATGTTCCTTCCATTAGCTACTGGGTGCTTTTAATTCTGGAAGACAGTGTGTTTTCAGACACTGTTGCTTTAGCTCCATGGTCTCAGTGTGACTCTTGGATCAGCAACACCAACCTCACCTGAGAATTTGTTAGAAATGTATATTCTTAGGCTTAGGCCCTTTCCCAGACTGCCGAAATATTTAGGGGAAAATGTACTGATGATGTTTGTAATTTACTTTGCAATGCACCCAAAATACAAATAGAACAAACTGATAAGTGAATCAAGTGAGGGATAGATAGTGCAATAAAATGTTAATGGCAGGTACATTCTGTCCTTTCACTTGAAGAACTGAAGGGATTGTTCTATATTGTCAAGATCTTTTCAGGTTTGGGGATGATATTTGCTGTCCTTTGTCCTTTTTCAAACTGGGTAACGTATTTTCAATAGCAGAAAGTATAATATCAGGACACATAGTTCCCAGTTACAAATTAATTCTAGTTCCTTTAAGCAAAGGAGTGAATCTGTTGACTTGAGGAATGCAAGAAAGGACTAAATGAGCAAACTGGGGGAATCCCTGGGTTGCTCAGCGGTTTAGTTGCCTGCCTTTGGCCCAGGGCGTGATCCTGGAGTCCCGGGATCGAGTCCCACGTCAGGCTCCCTGCATGAAGCCTGCTTCTCTCTCTGCCTGCGTCTCTGCCTCTCTCTGTGTGTGTCTCTCATGAATAAATAAATTAAATCTTAAAAAAAAAACAACAACAACAAAAAAAAAAAACAAACTGCCAGAAGAGGGATGCGTTTGGAACCAAGGATGCTCCACAGTGGCTGTCTTTCATCTCTGCTCTATAACTCTTTTATTGTCACTGCAGAGTCATCCATTTGGTTACTACTATTTTGATTACATCTTACATCTTCTTCCTATAGAAAAGGACTCTCAACTCCTATTTAAAAAATCTCAGGGAACATCAGCATTGTCTTAGCATGGGTCAGGCACCAACCTTGCCATCAGGAGAACATGGCACCCTCTGCCGGACCTTTGTGAGGAGAAGAAGGAGTTGCTAGGTAGATAGTACATGGGTGTTTGTGTGTCATTTCTCTTGGCCGTTGGCAGAATCTGCATATAGAGTTGAAGCGCGCTGATTTGTCTGTTTCATTTACCTGTTAGCAGACTTTTGCCTCGGTGACACTGCATAATAAACCAAATCACAATGGCTTAGGATAAGCATTCATTCTCATGCTGATAGGGTTACAGGTCAGCTAGAGTTCAGCTAACCTAAGTAGGCTTCAGCTGGGTGACTCAGGTGGCCTGGGCTTGGGTTTAGCTCGGCTATGTATAAACTCATTTTAGGTCCCAGGACATGCCCTCATAGAGGGTCACTAGAGCACAAGAACCAAGCTAGACAGAGCACAACCACACTGAAGGTCTTCTGTCACTAGCACTCCATTGACAAGACCATATCGTGTTGCTAAAACTCCCAACTTCATTGGGGTAGGGAAGCAGTCCCTGCGCAGCAGGAGAACAGGGGTGATGCTTAACAGCAATGCTTACTGTTATTCTTGATTTGAAGAAGAACAGCTGATTGTACCAGAAGGTCTTGGAGGCTGAGAACATATATTTCATGTGTTTACCAAGTTCCTTCTAATTTTGTTCTGATCATAGTTGGATATAAAACATTTGAGGCCGATAAATAGCTCAAGCTCCATTTTTGGACTTAAGCTGTGCTTTGCCTCAGCCTTTCCCAGTGTTCCATAGGCTTTGACTTTAGTCTCCCATTTTCACAGCGCACTGAGGTTTGGGTAGCCCTACATTTTATACAATATACTTTCCTGAGTCCTTATTTGTTGCTGAGATACCCTATGAGGTAAGTGGGGCATAGCATTTCAGGTTTACAAATGGAAATAACTGAGACTGAAAGGTTGGTGACTTGTTGAAAGTCAGACGGCCAGTTAGTGGTGGCTCTGGGCTAGAACCCAGTTCCTCTGATTTAGAAACAGACTAGGTCTGACCTTGGATTTGCCACATTTTGGCCATGTGGGCAAGTTGTTTCTTTTTTCTAAGTGTAAATTTCTTATCTCTAATATTAGGGGGCAGGAGAGAGTTCTAGAACGTCCCTGTACCATTACTTGGAAAGTAAGTAGGATGACAAAGCATCTGGCCTTGTGCCTGCCCACCATAAAGTAAGCACTTGCAGTGCTTGTTAATGTATGCTCTGCTGTGCTGTGTGGGGTGATCTTCATAGGCATGGTGGAAGTGTCTCTAAGGTCTTAAAATCTACATTTCTCTGGAAAGCAGTATTCTTGAATGACTGATTTCTAAAACTTTGGTGCATATAACTTCTTTCCTTGCCTCTTCTTCTTAATGTTTTAGCCAGCTTACCAAAACCTGAGGCAGAAGGTGGATAATTTTGTGTCAACACATCTGGACAAGCAGGAATGGAATCCTACAATGAACAAAAACCAGTTGCGAAATGGTCTGAGGCAGAGTGTGGTTCAGTAAGTAGAATTAAGAGTGAAAAGGCGGTAATCATGTAGGATGCACAAGAAAGCTGATACGCATCATTATTTGGTCAGGGTGAATGGCACTTTACAGCAAATCCCACACACAAGCCCTAGCAGTCCACCCTTTATTAAAGTTAAGGTTCAGGTAAGCAAAGGACTCAGCTGACATTCTTGCTAGTTTATCCAACCCCTTTAGACTCCTGTGTAAACTCTACCAGGTGCATTGAAAGATACTTCAAGTTGTGAAACACAGTTCCCTCTTGCTTGAAGTTTTCAGCGTAGCCGGCACATACATAGGAGTTTTAGACCCAGATAGCAGTGTTTGGATCTTGGGCAAGAGGAGCTGGATCTTTAGTATCATAAGGAAATGGGAGTTCTACAAAATCTTTGGGTCCATATGGCCCTCTCATGTGTAATGGCAGCTTTTAGGAAGGCATGGAGTCTTATTAAAGCATGGCCTTCACAGTAACAAACGGAACCTTAGTTAATAAGATGCTGCTGATAGCTCATCCAAGTGACTTCTTAATGTCGCTGGGCATAAAAGTGGAGGCAGTCATGGAATATGGTGTCCTAAGATAAGTTTTTCTAATCCACTTGAGATCTTTATTGCTCTTATTACTGGCACTCATGTTCAGGTCTTGATCCACTGAACTCTACTGGAATATCTAAAAGCTTGTGAAGCCTACCTCCTTAGGTATAGAAATATGAGGGAATTATGCTGAGTGAAAAAAAAACAGTATCAAAAAGAAGTGTGGTGACTCCATATATGTAACATTGATGAACAAAGTTATAGCAATGGAGACAAGAATAGTGGTTGCCTAGGGCTTTAGGGATAGGAGGAGGAGGGGAGTGAGTGTGACTTGAAAGGGGTAGCACAAGGGGATACTCTGGTGGTATGGGTAAGATCTTCATTACCTGAAGTTACGTGGTGAAATGGCACAGAGCTACGCATACAACAGAGTGTGGTTACATGTGTGAAAACTAAGGTTGGGTTGTACTGGTATCATTTTTCCAGTTTGATATTGTACTGTCGGTATGTAGGGTGCACAGACCTTCAAAGAATGATCTTTTTGTTTCCACAAGGTCAGGGATGTTGGAAGCTGGAGTGGACAGAATCATTTCTCAAGTGGTGGATCCCAAACTAAACCACATCTTTAGACCACAGATAGAAAGAGCAATTCATGAGTTCCTGGCAGCCAAGAAAAAAGAAGCTGTGCCAGCGCCCCCTCCAGAGCCTGAGAGCCAGGACCCCCCAGCTCCATCCCAGGATGCTTCCTAAGGTCCGGTATCCCATCTTTTGTCCAGGAGCATTCATCTCTAACTTATAGATATATAAAATGGATAGAAAAGGGGTAAGCCACTATTGAGGATCATATTCTTTATGTATTCAGAAAAGCATTTACTGCAGATAGACTTCACCTACTATTTAAAAGTCATTTTTTACTGAGAACTAATGAATAGCATTCTCCTGTCTTGGTATGAGCTTCTGTGCCACCAGAGCTAAACATTTAAGCTGTGAATAGATGCTTCATTAGAAACCGCCTGGGATGATTGTTGTGCACAAGAGAAATTCAAAGGAAAGTTCTGTTTTTCTGAAATTGATAAGTCTCACGCCTGGACATGAATTAAACTTGGGCTTGCAATTTGAATATAAAGTCGAACAATGTATTCTAAAACGCCATCCTAAATAAGACTCAGTTTGCTTTAAGCCTTGCTGTATTTCCCTGTATTTAGGGATTATAGTTTACCAGTGACAGTTACCATGGGATTCTTCTGTTATGTGCATACCCCTTCTAATTACATTTGGGATTTAATTTAATTTTAAAAGCCAGCTATAGATGCACAAAGCAATACTTTTTGCAGGCTTTGAGACATTAGTATATATGAGCAGTGATCAGCAAGTAAGCAGTGGATTCTTACCTAGCCATTGTTAGTAATCTGTCCTCTCATTCCATTTTGGTGTTCTGTTTGTAAGATTCATTAAGATGTTTATTATTTTTGATAAGAAAGCATCAATGAGTGAACAGAACAAGAGCATAAAGCTCGTGTGGGGCACTGCCTTAAGGGGAGGGGGTTGTCTTTTTGTGCCTGTATTGGGGAAAAACCTCAGTTCCATTATGGAGTGTAAAACATTACCAGTCTTTAAGTTTAATTGTAAATTCCTTTAGAAACATTAAAATCAAATGTAGTCTCTTATCAAAAAGCATTTTAATCTGATTCTCTTATCTTTTCAGAGTATGTCTGATGCCTTTTGGAAGCTCCATTGAATTAACCATGAAGAAATGGATTCGGTTACTTAAGAGTACAACTTCAGAATGAAGACAGGCCGAGGTCGTCACTGATTTCAGCATGCAGCCCTGACTGTGGGCAGTGTCCAGATTGAACAGGCAGTAGCAGAGTTGACCATGTGTGCTCCCTCATTGTGCTGCCATCTGGTCAGCCTGTCAAAGGGGATGACACCCAGTAGACACTACAGAGGTATAAAGAAACACTACATCAGTCTGGGGTTGTCCTGAATCAAACCTTTATACTTGAACTTGAAGACTGTGTGGATTTTAGGGTTTTTGTGTTTGGGTATCCCTAGAGGGGCTGTAGCTATAGTGAAGGAACGTAATCAGTTCCAAAGATGCAATTTCAAAGAATGACAGTGAAGGATAGCATGGAGTAGGTATTAGTGCTTATTTGTCAACTAGAATGTTTAAGCCATTAGCACCAAATAGCTCTAAAGTTGACGTGACCCTCTTGTACATGAATCTTGTAGCTTCGGCTTCTTTTCCTCTGTAAGAGGTGACGACACATGGGACCCTAGAATGTGAGGAAGTGCAGACACCAGGTATAAGGAAAAACATGTGCAGGCTCTCTGTCCAGGGCTGCTTCCTATCCTGCAAGGGCTTATGAATCTTGGGTGTGTTTATTTTATTCTCATGTTTGTGTTTTTTAGAAAAGTTGAATGATCAATAAATGGCTTAAGTTTTGTAATAAAATCATTTGATACTCTTACTCTGAAGCCTCAGCCGAATGATAGCCTCCAGGCCTGTGAGCCTGTAAAAAGTAACCTTTGTCCTCTGCCTGCTTTTCCTCTGGCTGCACAAGATTAGTGGGCCTCGGCAGGGTTGGGGGCGGGGGCAGGGGGGTGGATTGCTGCACGTAGCCTGGAGCTGCCCACCCCCTGAAGCTAGTAGGTAGCACTGGAGGTGGGCAGGCAGTCCCTCTCCTCCCCCGGCCCACTACTGATGCCCATCACTAGTTGAGGGCAGAATGATCTATCTCTGTTTCTCAAACTTGAGTGTATGGCAGCATCACCCCGGTATCTTGGAAGGATGCACGTTCTGCCCCAGAGGTCCAGTAGTGGGGATCTGAGCGTGTTGCTTATGCTCCAGGTGGTGCTTACGCTGCTGGCCCTTAGCAAACATTCTGTCCTGCAAGCCTTGAATAATGGCAAAGCTTACTTCAAAGAGTTTTGGTTCTTAGTTGAATCTGTCACGGGACATTGTTCATCTAACAAATTGTAACCTAGTGAGCTGGTTCCCGGTTAAAACGAACCGCCTCCACCTTTACCATTTCTTGGCTTATATCAGATGTTCAGGCATTAGGTTACCCTATTTCTGCCATTTACTCATGGAGGAGAAATAGGTTCCCAAGCATTCTGGGAAGCCTCACTGGCACTGGGAACTAAAGTAAGTTCTAACAGAACCATTACAGCAGTGCTGCCGAGAGCAGAATCCCCCAGCAGCAGTGGCATCGCCCTGGAACTTGTTAGAAATGCACCCCCCCGCGCGCCACCCCAGACCTGATTCACAGACTCCTGGAGGAGGAGGTCCAACAAGCCCCTCTGGTGATCTGATGCACACCAAAAATCATTTTCTCTTGAAGAAATGTTTTTGGGAAAGCTGGTGATGTTGACAGGCAATGACAGTTTGATTGTAATTAGTGTGTAAATGCGTCTCTTCTAATAGCTCTTGAGGGGTGTTTTGTTTTTTGTTTAATTCCTGGCAATTCCTTCCGTGCATGTAACAAAGCTTTCAAACTAAGTGTCTTCTGAAGATGAGTTTGTTCTGCAGCTCAGAACATTGGTGCGAACTCTGCAGAGACTCACTGGCTATTAAACATAGAGGAGAGATGTCCGTGGGGGCCCCAGCAAAGGTCAAGGCCTGGCATGGGCCTGAGGCTGGCCCTGAGGCCCGGGTTTGAAAACTGCATCTGGGTCAGCATTGGCCAGGCCCTGCCTCTCTTGGCTGCCCTAAGGATGCTGAGGACAGGGTGGGAAGCAGACAGGACAGCTAGCACAGCCAAGCTTTTATTGGCACTGTATTGCACCCTGTCGGTCACCTTACTCGTGAGGAGCCAGGAGGTCAACTTTTATGGTCTTGTCACTGGGAATGGGCCTGGCTCCAAGGCCACATGGTAGTAATTACTCGTCTTCTCAAATTGGTCACACTGCCTGTAACCTAGCCAGTCTTTCTCCAGTGTCCAAACTGCCATTTAGCCATCCGTCCAGAAACACTGCTTTTATCAGATCTCTCCCTCACTCTTGAACCTTTGAAAGAAAGTAGACGAACAAGGTACCGACCAGATGGCAGATGTTTTCTTATGCATAAATTTCATTCTCATGACCCTGTTAGGATTTATTCTCCATTCTGTGGATGAGGCAACCTAGACTGAGGTGAAGCAACCTCAGTTGTATAATATACTCATTATATACTACTACATAGGGGAGCAGGGTTTGAACCCAAGCCTCTGAATTCAAAGCTCATGTTACCTTCCCTACCCCACCGCCTTGCTACTCTGCCTCCTCATTATTTAACAGAACAAGTTCAAACATGTCAGTCCTTTGGGGTCCACCTTTCATTCCAAATGTAGGCCAAGATTAAGTCAGCTTGACCTCTTGCTCCATCTCAGTGCCTGCCCTTAGCTCTAGACAGTCTGCTTCCCTCAAATGTCAATCACAGGGCAGAGTTTGCAAACCAGCTCTGCCCTCTAGGCATGTTCTGTAGACCATGGACCTGTGACTATTGTCTGTTGTTTTGTTTTTAATTAATTACCAATATTTCAAAATGGGGAGAATTCCATATAGAGCTCTATTTCTGGCACCTAACGAAAAATGTCAAGGTTTGGCAACATACTTGTATTCCCAATGGATAACAATCCGCCAGAACTCTAGCAACTCTCTACTTTAGACAACATGTGGGACATGCAGATGCCACTGGCTGGCTTCTTTCATTTCCATCTGGCCCCTGAGGATGTTGGAGATACTTGCCCTCCAACAAGTGTCATCATCCTGTGATTAAGATTATTCAAAACATCTCCAGCTAGAGGGCCAGATCTTCTAGACTGATTTTCACGGAGACTAGATTTTTTTCAGCTAACTGATTTGGGCTCCAGAATTTTCAAGCTTGGAATGGAATCTGAAGTTCCCTCTCTGACATCTCCTTTGAGTGTCCAGATCAAGCCTATCCATGGATGAGTGAAGGTCACAGAATGTTGCACATAGAAGTCGGCTCAGGGTACAACCAGGATGCAGACAAAACCAGCACACAGTATTCTCGGAAGCCCCTTAGACTCTCCTGAGCAGCAGTCTCACCAGGACTGAAGCCAGAAGAGGGTTTTTCTGTGTAGCCCAATCAATGTATAAAGCTTCAAGTTTTAAATGAGAGAGCGAAGGGTAGTAGAATATGCCACCTCAAAATATGACCACAGGAATTCAAGATAGGCTACCCCCAAATTTGCCTTTTTGATATATGGATTACTTAGAGCTGCAGGCACTTGAGAAACAGCAAATAAAGAGAGGCTTTCACTGAATTCCTTTTAATTGCTTAAAGGCAGATACCCCAAAAGGAACACAGTCGTCACAGATCCCCTCCCAGGAGGTTCATCAACCAGGGAGGACTGACTCTCACCACAAGAGAAGAGACTAGAAGTCAACCCCACACCCTGACAAACTTCACAAACTATTTCACCTCCCATCTGTTCTTCTATAAAGAAAGGCCCGCTCATCTTTCCCAAAAATCACTGACTCTCCCTTAAGGGACCTACCTACCTACCCCTCCTCTTTCCCTATTGAGCTGGTATTTAATCTTGAATTCTAAGCCACCTCAGGGAGTTATTTTTCCCTGGGTGTCTCCATGGCTAATGAGGTATACATGTTAAGACACTTCCGGTTTTCTCTTGTTAATCTGTCTTTTATTACACAGGTCTCAGCTGGGTACTCAAAGGGTAAAGAGAAAATCATTTTGATCACCCTACAAGAACATTAGATTGGCTATGGTAGGAGTTAAACAATGGTCAGGGTGGGCATTTGAATGTGACAAAGCTTATGGAGCTCTCTTATGGGAGCAGCATTAGGTCTCCATAGAGGGGATTTTGTAGGCAGGCGGGAGAAGTTTGTCAGACTCAGCCTGACCCGGAGTCGTAATGATGGCCAACCTCACAACAATCCTATGGGCTCACACAGTGTGCTGGTTCAAGGCTTAAAGTTCACATCCCAACTCTGCCACTTGGGCTCTGGAGCAGCATTAGTGATGGATTGTTTCTGCTACAGTGCGTGAACAAAGAAGCACCAAAACTTTATCAGCCTCACACAAGTTTCTCACTGATACAAAATGGCTGTGATCCAGGCAACACTCCAGGGCAAGTCTTCTTCAAGGCGACATTGAGCATTCTGGCCGCTTTAAGCTTTTAGTCCATCTGAACCCACGACCTCTTCCATAAGAACACAGCAGAGGAAGAGAACCACGGAAGGTCTCACGTGAGGTATGAATGACATGGCCTGCAGGCCTGTGGCTTTCACTCGAAGCCCATTGGCCACAAGTAGGCACGGGGCCTACCTAACTGCAAGGGCACAGAGAGGTACACACACTCATGCCCAGAAGGAGAAGAGAACCAAATGTGGGTGAGGTCCAGAAGGCTACCTCAGCGTGCCCTCCCAACCACTGAATATATGGTGTCTTCCTGTAGAGATCCTAATCCTGCTCCATGGAAAGTGATCTCAAAGTACCATCTAGTGGCCTCCTTTAGCTCAAGGCCTAGGAGGTCTCTGCATTAGCGGTTAGGCACCTCCTCCTCTATTATACCTCAGAGCTAAATAGAGAAAAGTCATCCGCCTAATATCCCACCTAATCCCTAACAGGAGAGTAACTAGAAAGGGGAAGAACCCTGCAGCTTTGCTGTGAAGCCACTTAACCTAGGAATGGCAGGTGTCCCCTGTAGGCCGGCTCAGCCTGATGTGTTCTCTGTGGCCTCTAGCACCACCCTCTATTGACGTTCTTCCGCTGCCACTGTGTTTCTTTTCCCAACACACTGGCTACACCACACTCTTGGAGAATCTGAATTGAGAGGCTGTTCAGCTTTCTCAATCCTCATCCTGCTGTAGGAGACTAGAGCCCCTAGGGTCATTTTAAGTTTGGAGCTAAGACTTTTGGAGCCTGAGGATCATGGGGATTTGGATCAGAATGGCTATCTTTTAAATGTAGTAGGAGTTTTACCTGACAGATTCCAGCCAGCAAGATGGGCTAGAAGCCAAGCTCACAAATTTTTTTGAGACCCAACTCATAAATCTGCTGTATTCTTTTGCTCCCTTGCTCGCATACCTCTCTCTTGACTGAAACTTTGAGTCTGGGGCATCTGGGGTGGCTCAGTCAGTCAAGCATCTGCCTTCAGCTCAGGTCATGATCTTGGGGTCCTGGGATCAAGCCCCACATCAGGCTCCTTGCTTAGCGGGGGGTCTGCTTCTCTCTCTCTCCCTCTGCCCCTCCCCAACTCCTTTCTTTCTCAAATAAAAGTCTTAAAAAAATGAAAGAAACTTTGAGTCTATGGGGCTTCTGTATAAAAGCTAAACCTTACACTTTTTTTCCCTGAGCCATTTGTCCAGCCGAAGTTTTTGTGAGCACCACATGTTTAATCTGATCATTGCATGGAGGCCTTTGTCATATAAGGGTTCTCTGATCTCATCTCTTCTTGTAAGACTTTGCCAAATGCAGGCAACATCAACCATATGATGCTAT